GGAAGAGCGCTCCTTGCAAAATCATTGGGCAGTTCTGGAGCCATAGCTGGCACGGCAACGCCTGGCACAAGGCCACCCGCCCTTGGAAAGTCGTGGAGGGTTTAGGGTTAGGGATGAGGGTGACACCATGTAAGTTGCGGAGCGGGTTAGGTTTGGGAGTTTAGAAGGCTGGGCTAAGGCATGTAGGATTGAGGTTGAAGAGTGTAGGCCTACAACGCCTTGCAAAGCAACTTGAACACGTGCATTCAACATCCAAGGATGCGAGCACAAAAGAAGCCGAGGGCTTTTCAGGGCGTCACACCCTAATTCCGGTGATCTAGGCCTTTGCTTCTTTCGTCGGGTTCTTGTAGAGTGTAGAGCACACGGCTCGGGCTCTTGGGCGTGTCGGTGGGTTGCTACGGCTTATACCCCAAAATCCTAATCGCCGAAGCCTTAAACCCTACGCCCAAAACCAACATCTCTTTCGCCTGGTCTTATGGCAGTGGGCGTTTTGGGTTTAGGGTTGGGCGGTCTTCATGTCCCTGTCTTATGGGTGCTTACCTGGGCCTTGCCAGACACAAACCCTAAACCCTAAACCCCGAAACCCTAAACCCGAAAACCCCATAGAGGTGCTGCTGCTCCTGGTTCTGAATAACGGGCTCGCTTCTGTGGCGCCTTCAGCTGCGATCAGCATGGCGTGGCTCTGTGGGTGCGGAACAGATGGCCGAAGTAATAGTTGCAAGTCATAGTGCACAATCCAGAATCGTGGTTGGGCGGGGTCAATGACAGAAAAAAAAGCCAGCCTGCGAATCAGAAGCTACAGATCAGAAGCCAGCGTGGCTCAGAAACAGCAAGTCGGGTTCGTGGCCTCATGAGAAACCAGGGCGCATCAGAAACCAGGGCGAGTCAAAAGTTGTGCATAGAAGTTGGGGTGGGCAGGGGGAAGGGATGGGAAGGGTGGGGAGGCAGAAAACCGCGTCCTGCAAGCCAGAGCATCGTTTCCGGGTTTCCGATTCTTCCGTCGACCGTTGGGGGGGAGGAGGAGTCGGTCTCACGGAGCTTTTAGGGTTTATAGGGTTTGGGGTTTGGGGTTTAGGTTTTCGGGTTTTGGGTTTAGGGTTTTATAAGGTTCAGGGTTTAGGGTTTAGGGTTTGGGGTTTAGGGATTAGGGTCGAAACATCGGAGCAACAGTACAGGGCATCCAAGCTTTGCTCGGTGGTCCTTCGATGCCCCCCTTTGCTTTTTGTTTTTTCGTTTCTGGGCTTCTCAAAGCAAGAAGGAGCCCACACCACACAAAGGGTTTCAGTTTTTGTGATGTGGCCACTGGGCCGTGCTGGGCGGTGGACGGCTGCATTTGCCATGCAGAAGCCTGCTTTTTCGTAGCAAGCGTGGACATCAAAAAGAGGACGGCAGCACGAAGTACACGAATGAAGCTGTTCTGTTCCCTTTCGGGTTGATAAGTTTCGAAAGTGGCGTAACGTTGTTGGGGCTGCCAAATGACTTAGAACATTAGGGCTTAGTGGTTTTAGGGTTTATAGGGTTCGCATTGCTCCCAAAACTATGCGTTCAAGATGTGACTGTTTTAGCGTTTGGGGTTTGGGGTTTGGGTTCGGGGTTTTCATTCCCTGCTTTTGGGATCTTCGCACGTCCCCCGAAATCACTTCTCTCCAGGACAGCTCAGTGGCGGGTGCCAGAACTAAGCCATGAGTTGTACACTTTGGGATGTTCCCCTTTATCCTAACACTCCTTAGTAGGAATTCTTGGAATCCCGATGAAGGATTGCTAGTAACATCCCAACGTTCCCTAAACATCCCAGAGCCCCAAAACGTCATCAGGTGATCGGTACCCTTGGGGCCCTCATGGTGCTGCCCCTGGTCGTCTCGGGCTTGTTGCCATGCTTGCAGGTGGCGCCGAAAGATGCGGCTTTCAAACCCTAAACCCTAAACCCCAAACCCTAAACCCTAAACCCTAAACCGTTTGGGGTTCCAGGTGGGAAGAGTGCCCCCCAGGTGCAGGGCTCACTTTGAAACTGAAAGTGTAGGGTTGCGCCCTGCTGTAGGCCTTGCCTTTTGGGACGAGGGGGTGAGGAAGGATTTGGGGTTTGGGGTTTAGGGCTTAGGGCTTATAGCTTTTTAGGGGCTTCGAGAGTTGTTTCACTTGTCCTTGAGCCCCTATCTGGTAGAGGCTGGAAATTCATCTGGCGGATGGTGCGTGCTGTCCGGCACGCTGGCGGCGGCGCGGCTCGCCTGCCTCAAGCACACTCACTCAGACAGACCAGACAGACAGACAGACAGCCAGCCAGCCAGCCAGCCAGGCACGCACGCATGCACGCACGCACGCACGCACGCACGCGTGCACACACACACACAGACAGAGACACACACACACACACACACACAGACACAGACACAGACACACACACACACACACAGAGAGAGCCACACACACACACACACACACAGAGCACCACACACACAGACACACACACACCACACCACACACACACACACACACAGAGACACACACACACCACACACACACCCACCACACCCACCCACCCACCCACCCACCCACCACCCACCCCCACCCACCCACCCACCCACCACCCCCCCCACACCCCCGCACGCGCAGGCGCACGCGCAGGCGCACGCGCAGGCGCACGCGCCCACGCCCACGCGCACGCGAACGCCCACGCCCACACCCACGCACACCCATACACTCTCACACGCACACACCCACACACACACAACACACAGACACACACACACACAACAGACACACCAGACACAGACACAAGACACACAGACACACAGACACTACACACACGCACACACCCACACACACACACACACACACACACACACACACACACACACACACACACACACGACACCCACACACCCACACGCGACACACGCACACGCGCACACGCGCACACGCGCACACGCGCACACGCGCACACGCGCACACGCGCGCACACGCGCGCACACGCGCACACGCGCACCGCGCACACGCGCACACGCGCACACGCGCACACAGCGCGCACACACGCACACACACACGCACACGCGCGCACACACGCACACACGAACAACACACGCACACCCACGCACACCACCGACACACACACGAACACACACACACACCCACACACACACACACAGGACACACACAGACACACACAGAGACACACAGACCACACAGAGGACACACCACACACACACAGAACACACACACAGACACACACACACACACCACACACACACACACACACACACACACACACACACACACACACACACCACACACCCACGCACCCACGCACCCACGCACCCACGCACCCACGCACCCACGCAACCACGCAACCACGCACGCACGCACGCACGCACGCACGCACGCACGCACGCACGCACGCACGCACGCACGCACGCACGCACGCACGCACGCACGCACGCACGCACGCACGCACACAGAGACACACACACAGAGACACACACGCACACACAGACAGACAGACAGACAGACAGACACAGACACACACACACACACACACAATAGATAGGATTTGGTGCACATTGCTGTTTTTGCTAGGTGTCGGGTTCCTTGAAACATTGACGAGTGTCTACGGGGTGCCCACAGGGGGGGGGGGAATACTACCGATAGCGTCCTTAACTCCCCGACGACCCCAACCCACGAGACTCGAACCCGAAACCCTAAACCCTAAACCCCCCTGTCTAGAGAACATCTCTCTAAGGCTGACCTTGGTGTTCTGGAAACCGGGAAGTCGCATCTTCATCGACCGCGTCTGCATCCACCAGACCTTTGCCTTATCGTTGTAGGATCTGGGGTTCTCAGGGCCTCCCCCAACCTTAAACCGCAAGCCCTACACCCTAACCCTAAACACCGTCTCTGCTGGAGCTGGTTTTGAGGGAAGGGGAAGGGGAGGGGGGCGTTCTGAAGCTGGGGCCCGGGAGAGCAGGGAGGGCTGTCACCCCAAACATCCTACCCTTAAACCATATATACCCAAAACCCTAGTTCCCGAAACCCTGAAACCTGAAACTTTGGCTCTGTTGCTTATTCAATTCTGCCTGCTCTGGGCCTCCTGAAGCAGAGCCCCAGCTGAGGCTTGAAGAATGAAGCCCTAACTCTCTCTAAAGTCTGGGGTATATGGAGCGTAGGGTCTTTATGTAGTATATACATATATGTATATATATATATATATAGATATACATATACATGTAGATATAGATATAGAGATAGATAGGACATATACAGAAAGATATAGAGATGGATAGGATAGGGTTCGGGGTTTTCGGGGTCAAATCGAATAGTGGCACAATAGTTGGTCCCAGAAATGCTTCCTGGATTCAACTGCAGGGTTAGTCAAAAGCTGCGATGTCGCTGGGCCTGCCTGGTTTCGTGCATTGCCTGGCCTCGTTGTCCACGACGTCTTGCTTCGGGGGTGTTGCTTTTGGCCCGCGTGCCAGGGTTTAGGACCACGGGTACAGTTGCCTTCCGGCCTCACAACCTTGAAACCTGAACCACAGAGCCCCCCGAAGCCCTCAATGCCCTACAAACCTAAACCCGAAACCCTAAACCCTAAACCCCCCCAACCCCTGTAACTTTAAGGACAGACGCGGAACTCAAGCTGGCCGGGGTTCTTTGCATCGGGGCCTTCCTGAAGCATTCAAGGCCTGGTAATGAGCTGACGAAGTATTTGGGGTTTAGGGTTTAGGGTTTAGGGTTTAGGCCTTCGGGTTTAGGGTTCGGGGTTTCGGGTTTAGGGCTCAGGGTTCAGGGTTTGGGGTTTGAGGTGACAGAGGCCTGCATGTGTACCACTTTTTCTGTTTGTAATCCCTCAATATAGAGATAAAGACCAACTACTCCGGCTCCCTGTTCTCAAGGCCCCATGCTCGGGTTTAGGGGCTCAGGGTTTGTTTTCAGGCCTGGCAAATCGTGAAGCTCCTGGGAAACCTGCATTGCGGGGGGGTGTAAGCAGTGTGGCTTTATGAGTGCTTGGGATGCTGTTCAAGGTCCATGCTCGTTTGCTGGGATGAGACCTACTTTCAGCGCCTGTGGTGCGACTTCACTGAATTAGAGGGATAGGCCGGGAATACCCTAAGGCCCCACTACACCCCTAACCAGAAGGGTTATAGGGCGTAGAGGATTTCACAATCACGGTTTTGGCATTGTGGGGTTTGGAAATGTTTGTTGGGGGGATGGGGGATTCAGCATATACTCCCCAAGGTGTGGGGAATGGACAAGATGGAAGCAACTTGCCAACTTAGGCGTCTTGGAGTTAGCCGCATTCCTCAAGAGCCAAGATGGGAAAGCAACAGGGCTCTGCATTCGCCCTACCTTCCTCGGCCCTTGTGCCGTCGTGCTCTTCCTCATCAACTCTGCCTCGATGATTGTGGTCCGGTCAATGCGGCTCGGCCTTCACGTTCAACCCGGAACACCCAATAAACGACGCCCAAACAACACCATGAGAGAGCCCTAAGCCCTAGCCCTAAACCCTAAACCCTAAATATAAGCCCTAAACCCTACCAAACGTCAAGCGGCAGTGAAGGCAGGGGACCGCGGACTACTTCAGCAATGTGGCCGTTGCCGCACCTGTGCTCTTGGTGATCTTCACATGTCTCGGCTCCCTGAGCTCGGAGGCATTTCGGGACCCTTGATTGGATGTTGTCATGTTGTCGCCTTTTTGGGGTTCTTTTGGGGTTTTGGGCCTAAACCCTAAACCCTCAACTGGGGTGGCTTCAGCAGGGCACTAGACTGAAGCCGCCAGCACAGGACTTCTTTCGCAAGCTGGCAAGTATGCAGGACGGGGGTTTCGGGCCTTCAGAGATGGGTTTTTTGGGTAGGGGTCTAGAGGCTTAGGTGTTTAGGGGTTTAGGGTTAGGCCGGCTGCAGCTGTAAGACTCAAGAGGGCTATATGAGCCCAAGGTGTTCAGACTCACTAACTCTTTAACTCACCAGAGTCACTACCTTGGACATGACAGGAGCAGCTTCCCCACTTCCGCCTTCAAGACGCTGCCTGTCACTGCTGTGATATTCATCACTTTGCCGCTTGGGTTCACAGAGGGTTTTTTTTGTTTTTTTTTTTGGGGGGGGGGGGGGTTGAGGTGAAAGTCTGATGTTTTCGGATACCATCACTTCTGGCTCACAGACCTTCTTGGGAAAGCAGCCACCACGCAGGGACCCAGGAACTCCTCAGGAGGCTTAAGTGGGCATCTCGAAGAGCAGCTGCACAACCTGCTCCTCCTGCTTTCTGAATCGGGTTGAAACGGCTTGGAGTAGCCTTCGCCGCTGCTGTTGAGAGTTACGGAATTCCTGGAAACACTCTGCCGCTCTGCAAAAGGCTGCTTTTCCGGAAGGACAGGGAAATAACACTTTTCTACATAGAACGCGATGTGTCTCCAACCAGTTTAAACGTTAGCATGCTTACAAACCTTCTTTTTTGCAGGTTCGCATCCAGGCACCACAAGCTGTGCCGCTTTGAGCCTTTGTATATGTTTTATCTTGGCTTAGGGTTTTGGGGTGGATGTTGCAAGCTTCTTAAATGTCCAGTGTCTGGCTTAGCAACGTCTCTCGTGCTTTTCGGCAGTCATGGCACAAGGAAGTCGCATTTCGTGTTGCGCAGACGCTGTTGAAGGTTCACATAATGAAAGTGATGCCTCAGAAAGGCTGGACCAGCAGTGAAGGTTTGAGCTTCTCGAATAGGGACTCTACCGTTCTTTACAGAACGTTGTGGATGTTGCATATGCACTGGGATGTTCCCCCTTATGCGAGCAATCCCTAGTAATAGGGATGAGAATAGGGAGTACTATGATCCCTATTGTGCTTGGTTGTTCGTATAAGGGGGAACATCCCAACACTTCATTTCGTTTTGAGACTATCCATGCCGACACGGTGACCTGACAGCTTTCGAGGCCCCCCCCCCCCCCCCCCCGCAAACCATTAACGGAGTCGCAGCCCCAGCCCTTGTGTTGCCAACAAAGGAGAATGGACAGCGTGTGCCATGTGATCGTGAAGTCGTGAATGAGTGCATCGGCAGCTGGTTTGGTTCCTTGGATTCGGCAGTGGCTTGAGGGATGGACTCCTCATTGGGCGTTAAATAATGATGCAATTTTGTTGGCACTTTGTGGCGTTTGTATGGAAAGCAAAAAAAAACAAGCCAGCAGCAAAGGTTCTCCAAGGGAGTTCGAAGGCAGCGTCCATTCTATGGTGCTGCCAGCAATGGCAGCTTGCCAGCGGAGAATTCAGCAAAGTGTCCACTCTAAGGTTTAGGGTTTAGGGTTTAGGGTTTAGGGTTTAGGGTTTAGGGTTTAGGGTTAACCCCAAACCCTGAACCCCAATCCCACGCCCAACAGCAAAGACTCGAACCGCCTTGACTCCGGCAAGCCTTGAACTGAGGAGACGCAGCTAGGGTACTACCTCTTCCCGTACCACATCTTTCTCGGCTGCTCCATTCCTGTTCTCTGGGCACACTTCGATGGCATGGTATATGCAGCCATAGATCAGGACCTGCGAAGATTTCGCCCCCCCACCCTGGTCGGGTTTGAGGAATTGAGTCCTAAACCCTTAACCCGAAGCCCTAAACCCTAAACCCTTAACCCTATACCCCAAACCCTAAACCCCGAACCCTAAACCCCAGACTCCCTAGACAACGCCGGCAAGGATTGGGCCGCGTTGATTACCCGCCTCCTGTACGTTGCTGTCAGGCCCGGGGAAGAGAGATTGTTGACATGAGGTTTGATAAGGTTGGTTTAGGGCTCAGGGTTCAGGGTTCAGGGTTTAGGGTGTATGGTTTAGGGTTTAGGGTTCAGCATCTCTGATCCAAGCATTCACTAAGGGTGTTTGGCATCACCCCACCCACCCAGAATCCCTTTCATTTGGCAACCCTATCTACCATTTCAATTCCTATTGCCCAAGTCCCCCGAACCTTAAATCCTCAATCCTAAAAGCTCTAAAAATAGCTTTCAAAAAACTGTTTTAGCACTGAAACCGACGGTTTCGGGGCCCTTCCATTTGACCCGAAAGCACTACCGCAGCCCCGAAAAAGGGGGTGACCCGGGATTTGCTGCTGCCGCAAGGAAAAATGCCGCTTTTTAGTACTGAAATCGACGGTTTCGGGGCCCCTCAAATAGCTTTAAAGAGCACCAGAAGGCTTCAAAAAACACACGAACAAGGGGGGGACCCGGGATTTGCTGCTCCCTCAAAGAAAAATACCGTTTTTTTGTACTGAAATCGACGGTTTCGGGGCTCCTCAAAGAGCTTTAAAAAGCCCCAGAAAACTTCAAAAAAGCCACCGAAAAAGGGGGGACCCGGGATTTGCTGCCCCCGCAAGGAAAAATGCCGTTTTTTAGTGCTGAAATTGACGGTTTTGGGGCCCCTCCATTGACCCCAAAGAACCACCACAGCCCGGAATTGTCCGGGGCATCCTGGGGCGTCCCGGGGGGGCCCCGGGACAGCCGTCCCGGCAGGCCCCGGACAATTGTTTTCGGAGGGTTCCGGGACGTTTCAGGACAACCTGTCCCGGGGGTTCCCCGGGACAACCCGTCCCGGGGGGGCCCCGGAACAACCCGTCCCGGGGGGGCCCCGGGACAACCGGTCCCGGGGGGCCCCGGGACAGCCCATACTAGACTAGGATTTAGGATTTAGGATTTAGGATTTAGGATTTAGGATTTAGGATTTAGGATTTAGGATTTAGGATTTAGGATTTAGGATTTAGGATTTTAGGATTTAGGATTTAGGATTTAGGATTTAGGATTTAGGATTTAGGATTTAGATTTAGGATTTAGGATTTAGGATTTAGGATTTAGGATTTAGGATTTAGGATTTAGGATTTAGGATTTAGGATTTAGGATTTAGGATTTAGGATTTAGGATTTAGGATTTAGGATTTAGGATTTAGGAACCAGGAAAACGCAAAAAAGGTCAACGACCCCATTAAGGTTTTTAAGGTTTATATATATATATATATAGGTAGAGAGGGTTTGGGGTGAGGGTTTAGGGTTCAGGGTGTAAGGTGGAGGGCTTGGCCATAGGATGAAAGGTTGAGTCTTCACAGGGAGGTCCAAGTTCGTCATGGGTCAGGGCCGTCGGGGGGTTGAATTTGCTCGGGCAGGGCGTCCGAGCCATCCATCTGAATCCTGAAAGCCTCACAAGGTTTGGGGTTTAGAGTTTAGGGTTTAGGGTTTGGCCTTTAGGGTTGAGGGTCCCCTAAGAGAGGATGACTTGCTTCGAACATCCCCACCTTAACACGCAGCGACTTATCTCATCTTGGATTGGGAGTTCAGGGATACTCAGCAACAGTTTGGACTTCTGGGATTGAGTCCTCTGGGAGTGGGCACTCCAGGGACACTCTGAGATTGTCCAGGTCTGTGGGGGTTCCTTACGCACTGGGCACTGTCGGGATTCTCTGGTGGTTCTCGATGCTCTTGGGAGCGATAGTCTGCGGAACCCAGTCCCACGGATATGATCTCTGCGGGATTCATTACAAGGAGAGGAGCTAAGCTAACATTCAACATTCTATCATCCGAAGCGCGACCCGCCCCCCCCCCCCCCCCCCCCCAAAACCCTGAACCCTATAAATCCTAAACTTTAGAGAGTTATGACAGGTGGCTGGGTGAGCTACCAATCTTCTTTGCCATGGCCTGCCCCGTCATGTGGAAGCTGCGCCACAGGCCCTCAGGGCTGGGGCCTGTTCCTGAAGCCCCAAACCCTAGACTCTAAACTTTAAAGCCATAACCGGGCCATAGCCCTAAACCCTACACCCTAAACCCCAAACCCTAACCCTAAATCCCCCATTTCCCCTCATGCCATTCAAGGCAGAAGATCCTCAAGCCGAAGCGTAATCACGACTTACCTCTTCAGGTCCTGGGGATTCGGGTTTCGAGTTTGGGGTTTAGGGTTTGGGGTTAGGGTGGAGAGGCGCTGAGTCTGGGTCATGCTGTTCTCAGGCGTGCCAGGCGTTTCGCAGATCTGGGCGTGAACGTGCTGTGCATGTGGCTTCCCCTATCTGTCTACTACGGCATGTACCTCGGTGGGGAGAAACTCGGCGTGCAGACGAAACCACGAACTCTTCACAGCGACCAGAAGAAACTCCGGCACAGAGTATAGGGCTTATTTATATCTTAGCTTATCTGGAAGTTATATAGGAACCCTAAACCCTGAATCCGAAACCATAGACCCAGCTTTGGCCGGAGCTGTTGAGGGATTGTTGGAACCCTGGCAGCCTAAGTACCATCTCTTTCTTTGGCAGAGGTTTCTGCTTGAATCCCTATAGAGGGTGGGAGGGGGGGGGGGCGTTGAGATTTACATTTTTTCCTGTGCTCCAACGACGGAGGGTGGGTGGAGAGGGAATCGGGCTCACGCCCTTCCGATTGTGGGGGCCGGGGTGGGGGGGGAAGGTTATCCGAGAGGTTTGGTTCGGCTTTAAGGCATTTTGAGCGCCAGGGCTTTGAGGGTTTGGGTTTTGGGTTATGTTTTTCGGTTTAGGGTTTAGGGTTTAGTTGCTTTGGGTTTTAGGATTTAGAGATTTGGGTTCAGCTAAGCGTAGCCTATGCTTTGTGCGGCGCCTGCTTGTTTAGGCAAATAGCCGGGTTTAGGGCCAACGTCTTCAGAATGACGGGCAGGCAGGCAAACAGAACATTTCATCGTTCGCGTTTGGCAGGTCATCTGCGGGTCCATCGAAATTGCAGGTTCTAAGTACACGACATACAAGTTCTGTTGATTCCTGTCTTGAAGGTTGTTTATAGGGTTTCAATTGTGGCTAGGGCTTAGACTTATCTTTGAGTGCTCCCCATGAGGTATCTTCGGAGCACTTGGGGCCTGCGAGGGCACATCTTGTTGCTTGCCCGGGCCCCAAGTTACCTTTTCAGGGTAGTTTCGGGATCCCCAAACCCTAACACCCTCCCACTGGGTCCATGCATACCCTAAACCCTAAGCCCTAAACCCTAACCCTAAACCCGAAACCCGAAACCCATCGAGGCCCAAATAAATCCGAATTGCAGCCTGGTGCGCCTCTGGGTCCCTGGGTCCAGGGGCGTTTGGTTTGCAACTTGCAGGTTTGCGCCTCGGGAGTCCGGCAGCATTTCTTAGGTTGATAGGGCTTCGGGTTCTACATCAGAATGTTCCCCTTAGACGAAGACTCCTTACCAGGGATCAGAATAGGGTGTACCAGAACCCTACTATAAGGACTGTTCGTATAAGGGGGAGCATCCAAAGTCAAAAAAAACAAATATATATATATATATATATATACATATATATATATGTATATATATATATACATACATATGTATATTTATATGTATACCAGGGCATCATGGTCTGCGTCGGGCCCCACCCCCCCTCACCCCCATGCAACTGCCATCCCTCAGATCTTTTTTAGGTGGTGTCTGGGAGGGGCACAGGGGATGACACATATTGAGGGGGGGGGGGATGGAAGGGTGAGAATTTTCCACATTGACAAAGTCTCTGCTCTGAACCTTCTAAACGGCAGTCTAGTAGAGGGCTTGGCTGGTTTAAGGGGTTCCAGGCTGCCACGGTGGTCGTTCTGACCTGACTTGCAGGAGGTGATTTGAGGTTTCGGCCGGGTCAATAGAGGGGTTGGGGACGCTTGGGTTCCGAGGTTTTGCCCTGCTCAGCCTGGATAGACTCGGTGGTAAGCAGTGCGGAAGAGCCATGAGACCTGAACCTCACGTCTTGCATCATGCATGGCACTTTACAAGGTGATGCTGTTGGCTGCCACCGCCTTCTTGTGGCGATTCTGGACGTGCTGGTTGTTCCGTTCTGGCATATCGAGATCCAGGTTCCGGGGTTCGGTCCTTGTAATTGTCGGGTTTCGCGGCTGAGGGTCTGGATTGTGAGGTTTCAGGACTGAGGGTAAGCTTCACCACCGTTTGGGCAATAGAGTAGTCGCGAAAGCACTGTGAGGTCTAGAGTTTGTCTAGGCTTCAGAAATTTGCCACGAAGCGGTGGCATCAGGTTTTGGCGTCAACTTCAGCCAGGATAGAAGCCTATCCCCCGAAACGATCGGCGAAAGACGGTGCAAGAGCAACAAGCCCCAATCACTTGTATGCTGCAAGCATGAAGGCTTTCCAGACTGTGTAACATTTCCCCGCGTAGGGGGGGGGGGGGGGGGGGTGGGGAGGGGGTCCCCTGACATGCCCCAAAGTAGTATAAGCTTTATAATCGGAACTTCCGAAAAGGAAAAGGGTACCCATTTTCAAAAGTCATCTTGTGGGGGCCAAGAAAGATGTCGATGTCGTACACCTCAACTCATTAAATCATACAAGGCCCCACACAGTCCTGAGAGTCCGAACTCAGCCAGGCAGACGGCATCGTCTAAAGACATGCCAGAGCTGTGAGCCTGACCTATGATGTGGAGTTGAAGGGCAGGTGATTTTTAGGGTTTAGGTTTAGGGTTTAGGGTTTGGGATTATCCCACAGGCAAGCCGATGACTCCCCCTGCGAAACTCAATAAGTCAGGTTAAATCTCGCAGGGTCCTAAATCCTGCAACTATGCCCTACAGCCCGAACACTGTAAAGAATGTAGGTCCCATGCACAGCTTAGTAAGGTAAGGCCAGAAAGCCACAACAATACCCCCCCCCCCCCCGTTCCCTCCAATGATCAGCTGGTTGTGCGAGTATGCATACATCAAAAGAGAGCCAAGGGTGCACCGTCAGCCTCAACTAGCTTAAGGGGGTTAACGGGATTTTGAGTTCTGGGGTCACATGGCTCATCACACGCCGCAGACGCAGCAGTTGTGATTCCCAAGGTTTGAGGGTCAGACGGTCGAAGATTGTCAGAGAAAGGCACCAGCCCATGATCTACTGGAAGCCAAACCTCGCTGAACTTAGTCTCAGTAATGGCTGATGCTGTGGAAGTTGGGATGCTGACCAGAGCTCGTACTACAAACCCATACAACCCCTATACACCTTGAATCTTGCCACTCAACTCATCCGTCTGCGAACTATGCAGAGATGTACAAATTTGCATTTTGCTTGCCATGGCCGCGAGCTGTGAATACGAGTGTGTAGACACCAAGGGCCAGGGCACCTTGGTTTCTGCGCCGTTGGCAGTTGCCAACAGACCCAACAGACCCAGAAGTTCCAGCAGCGAAGTTTGGAAATCGGCTGCTTTGCTTTTTCCCAGCAGCAAGGCTTTGTTTGCCGATGCTCAGCTGCTCAGCACCCGCATTTGAACGGTGTCTTGCGTATTGAGAGAAGGCTCACCAGAAGACCTGAAGCAACTAGCCATGTCATTTTGCTGAGCCGTGAAGGAGATGCATCAACATGCAGCCACCCTCTTCTTCTGTCGGAGTCATTGTCGCTTTCAACGCTGCTTCCGATACTCCTTTGCATGAACCATAGGTTTCCACTAAACCCACAAGCACCAAAGCCTCAAACCCTGCAGCCTAACCCCCGGAAAGCACTCTAAGCTTGTAACGGATCAGCCCTAAACTAAACCCCGACACCCGAAACCCTAAACCCTAGACGCGAAATGCTTGTAGAGCTTGTGTTGGGGGGATTTGGGGTGTTAAGGGGGTTTCAGCGGTGTGTCGCTTTGAGATGTTAGTGGGTTGGGAGGAACTCGGGACCCGAACCTTGTAACGACTAAGGCCTGGGGTTTTCTAGGGCTTAGGGTTTCTGGTTCCGGATTTAGGGGTTTAGGGTTTAGGGTTTGCAGTCGTGGGGGTGGCTGCTAGACCCAGAGCCTTTCCCCCAGTGGGTTATCCCGGGCCGCGACCGGGGCTGAGACTTGGAATTGTGCCGGCCCAGGAGAGCCGGGGAGGAACCTCTCGACATGGGGCGTTTACGAAACTAGGGGGTGCCCTTGTTGCGGAGCTCCTCATAAGGATTATACTTTCTGGGGGGGTGGATTCGTATATTGGCGCATCTTGGCTCTGCCGCTGCCCGGGGCGAGCACATGAATTGTCGGCTCATGCCGTGGTTCTTGCCGGCATCTCTTTCAGATGGCTACTGGTTGCTTAAGAACCCGAAAGAAGAATAAACAATGATAATCCCTAAATTACCCTTAGTCAGGAAGAAAATGTAGATTTTTTCTGGGTTCTTAAGCAATTAGTCCATGAAGTGAGTTTCTTAATTCAGATATGGGGGTGGGGGGGTGGGGGGTGGGAGGGTTGCAAACTGAGAAGGGCTCGCCACGAGGCAAGCTGAAATAGAAATGCACTTAACAATGCACGGTGTCTTCGGGCATTGCCATGACAGGCCGCTCTATACACAATCTTGTTGTAGGTAACCCTTTGCGTGCTAAAGCCACAGAATTCGGGGCCCTTCTATCCCCCGTATAAGCGCTTCCAGCGTATGGAACCCTGTGCCCACCTCCCCCCCGGCCCCCAATCCGGAGAGTGCCAACATGAGCCCCCGCGCTCACTGTGGGCCCCCGAGCTTCCAACCCTAAAACCCTAAAACCCTAAAACCCGAGATGATCGACTCGTGCAAATGCAGTAAAAAGGCTCAAGACCATGAGAGCGCTCGCCAGACCCTAAACCTGAAGCCCTAACCGCAAAAAGTCCAGGGAAAGTCTAAGGCAGCTAACCCAGCACCTCTTGAGGGCTTGAGGCTGAGGGTCTTTTGGGTGAAGGGGATGGAGTTTAGAGTTTAGGGTTTAGGGTTTAGGGTTTAGCTTTCTGGAGATTGTGACCCCAAACCCTTAAACTCCTCCTGCTTCTTAATCGGGAATAGGGTTCCATATGATGCCCTTGAAGGGTTCATGTTTCACAGTGGCGGAGATATGGCACCGAACTACCTCCTTCCCTCTATGACGTAGAACTCGTAAGTAAACTCTGCACCCTGGGCCGTGTTTTCGACCTCTGACAAGCGATCGCCAAGCACTTGTTCTCAGAAGCTGCCATGAGCCCTAAACACAAGAGGGGCTTGCTGGGTTTGGGGTTTAGGTTCTTGTGTTGAACGGAGTGGACGCCAGACATCAGACCAAACCGATACTGCTACCTGGTCTCATCATCAAGCACTGCCCATTCAGCTGCGCAAGTATTCGCACACCGGAAGGCTCCTTCACCTTCAACCCATCTGTGGACTGTTAAACTGCTTGGGGTCTGGCATCGTGGGCTTCAACCCTAAGCCTTGCACCCTATACACCCTATACACGCTAAACCTTCTAACCCTAAGCACCTGCACCCCTAAACCCCAAGCACCTGCACCCCAAAACCCTAAACCCTAAGCTCTAAACCCTCGCTACTTCCCCGGACTCGCCGCCGGCCAGGATCCGGGCGACGAGTTCTCTGACCTCGTAGCGCCAGACGCTCAGACGCCAGGTCTTTCCAAGAGTATGTATAGTGAATGTAGATGCTTGTAGTCATATGCACACATGGCTGTCTATGTTTGTGTGCGCATATGCAGAATAGGTATGTGTGTGTGCTCATGTTGTCTGTATGCAAATTGATGCAATTGTGGTATTTGGCAGAACGCCGGTGCATCAATCAATAGGTGCATATATAGCTTGACTCTAGGTTGTTGCTTGAGTGACGAGAGTTTTCGTGACTGAGGGTTGAGTGGGGTAGATACCATGTGTTGGGATTCAGTTTATAGTTTAGGTTTCACGGCTTAGGGTCTAGTCCAGGGCATTCAGGGTCTAGGGTGAAGGGTTTCGGGCTAAACCTTAAACCCTAAACCCTAAACCCTAATTCCTAAACCCTAAAGATCGAATCTTAAAGTCATAGGCGGTTTTCACCCCCAACCCTTCGCCCGCGGCACTCGCCCTTCATCACCCTGGGAAGGGGCACATCGGACCCCTGAACCTGAACCTGGGGTTTAGGGTTTGGGGTTTGGGGTTTGGGGTTTGGGGTTTAGGGTTTAGGGTTTAGGGTTTAGGGAAATCCTGTATCCTCTTAAACCCTTGGGCCTTTACCCCCTTAAACTTCAAAGCCTACACCCCTAATCCTTCAAAGCCTACCCAAAAGCCTTTCAATTCTACACCCTTCAACCCTACAAATCCCAAACCAACAGCCCCAAACCCTCGCACCGGGATATCACGGCAAACCTCAAAGCTCAACTCCCAGATCCACTCCGCAAGTCACTGGCCGAAACAAACCCCCTCCAAACCCCCTGTAACTCGGAGCCCTTAACTTTACAGCGACCCTGACTTCCTAAACCCCCCAACCCCCCAACCCCCCCCCTCCGCACACCTCCTATAGCGTCCAAACCCTGAACCCCAAACCCTATAAGCTGGCTTGCCGACTTTGGTGTCAATAGTGGGTTCCCGTGCGTGCTAGGCGCGAAAAGCGTAAAAGCCTAAAAGCGTAGCTTTCGAAGTTTCGCTTTTACCGTTTTTCGATATTCCTCCATCAACCACCAGCTGCTGGTGGGGTTCTAGCTGCTTGGGAGATCTGTAGAACTAGACTTCCAACGTGCTGCAAAGAGCTGGCTGGCGAGCGCGCTGCGCTGGTCTGCCCCAGAATGTGTCTGGCCAGAAGGTTTGTGTTCACCTACAGCCAAACCCTAAGCTGGCTTGCCGCCCAAACCCAAACTCTAGACCCCCAGCCTCCCATCTCTAAGCCCAAAGCGCCAAACCCCCTAAGCCCCAAACCCTAAACACCTAAACCCCTAAACCCCCAGTTCTTAGTAGGAAATGGGGGAATTGGGTACCCTACATAATCCCTTAAAGGGTGTGTATATACATACGTATACACATATATATATAATATGTATATATATATATATGGGGATATATAGGGGTGCGTCATTCTCTCATTCGTACTAAGGACCAGCAAGTAACAAAAAAATGTCTGATCCTTGTGAGTCTATAGCTCTCAATGCCTCAGAGGTCCGCTGCTAAGGAGCCAATTCCTTCGAGGACGCTCCTTGGGGTTTAGGGGTCTAGGGTTTGGGGTTTAGCGGTTTAGGGGGGTTTAGGGTTCAGGGTTTAGAGTTTGGTTTTAGGGCTTGGATGGGTGTAAAGTAGCTGGAGTCCAATGTAGAGTCCTCCTCAGCATGATCTACCCACTGAACGATCTCCATTTACGACGTTTTGGGGGACCGCAAAGTGCGCCATCAGCCCCCACATGACGTCTGAGGAAGACAACTAACCACCCTAAACCCTAAACCCTCTTCAAACGAAAAGGTTAGCCGGTCTGATTCTTTTACATTCCTAGGAAGACGTCTTCACGACTTATAAAGCCTAAGCCCTTAGATTCGTGTTAGGGTTCAGGGTTTAGTGTTTAGGGTGAGGGTTTAGGCTCAAGGCGACTTCTGCAGACACATCCGAAGCCCCCGCAAACCCCGCAATCCATAGTCACAAGCTCTACACCCGACTCAAGAAGGAAGCTCTTTGGTGCTTTTTTGCTTTGGGGTGAGCGATTTCGGGTTCATGGAGAACAAAGCCCGG